CATAGTTCAATGTCCACGTTTTGTGGACATAAGTGGCGTTTCAAAATAAAGTAACAGCTAAATGCCGCTCTCAGGCCTCTCTCTGCTTTCGGTAGAACCAGAGAGAAATCTTCTCTCTGCTTTCATGTGTTTTCCCGCGGATTTTGTTAGGACTGTCCGAAATATATTTTGTGGTGTGCTGTGTGGTGTAGAATTAACGGTATGTTATTTATATTACTTAATGTGACGTTTGTTTAAATGTGAAAATTGCATTTCTTTTCATTCGTAATTCTCTCTGTACGTCTTCGTTGTTCACACGATGTCGTATTCTTTGTGAAATCGGTCGAGCTGTGTTGGTGAATTGTCTCCGTTCTTCTCGTTTAGGTTATAGCAACAGGATTGCACTGACAGTTCTATTCGTAATAATGTAATTGAGAAATGCTACAAACATCATGGTATTTTAAAAATAGGTAGATTCACGACAATTCAATCACCACTTGGCTAAAATGCTCAGTCTTATTTTTACACTTCCAACACGTTTTTAATAAAAATAAAAAACTCTAGTCTTTGTGGATGCTTTCCATTTGGTGACAGGTGATATAGATCTATACATTTAATCAATATGTTCTTTGTTTCTTAATGCTTGTTATTTACCACTTTTTAAACCTATTCTGCGATGTGCTTTGTTGACTTTTTTTTGTTATTTTTTTGTCTTTTTACCTCTTATCTCGTTTTTGTTTCCTATTACTCAAGACAAAAATTAACTTCGGAAGAATCACGAAACACGTGGCAAAAAATACATTGTCGATAAAACGATCACAAAGAAGGAAAAAATTTGAGATAAAAAACAAGAAACAGGAAACAAAAAGCATATTGTAGAATTAGCATAAATTAGGCTTTACTCGCTGAATTAATATTCAGCGAGTTTCTTTCTTAATAGAAAGATAGTATGATGATTCATGTCACTAAATAGAAAGCATTCTGTATGTACCAGGTTTAACAAAATATGGAAGACAGTGATTGTATGATACAAGGAGTCACGCCAAAGAAGAGAAAGAAAATGAGACAGGGTAATTTGATTTTCTTGTAAATATATTGCATACATTTAGATAATTTTCTTTGTGTCGTTTTACTTTACTTTTTGCGTTCAGCGTCTTTGTATTCTTTTTTTTCCAATATACATTTATCACGTTTTAAGTATCTGAATATATATTTATGATACTATCTTTTGAATACAAAAAATTATAGGAATGTTAAGCAATATGATCAAATCTATTGTGTATACCTTGTAACAATTGTTTGCATAGTATAAATGTTTATTACAATAGTTACTTTAACACAATTATTTTGTTATTTTAGCACAACTATCATTCCAAACGTTGAGTTCTTCCAAATCACCAAACAGTACAGATAATAAGTGTAACATGAAAAAGAGAAAAATAAAAACGCCTTTGATAGGATCTAAAAGCTCTAAGATGATAAAACTTGCAACAAAAGAGAATTCGGTCAAAAAAGTACCTGAGAAGGAAAGAGAAAGTACAAGTGAGAAAGAGCTTGATATTAGTAATGATATTGTTATATCAGATGACGAAAAGAATGACCTGAGTCAAAGTGATCAACAAAATACTAGGAAAATCGATAGTACACCTAAAAGAAACAATGTAGGAAAAAATAAGAAACAGGATAAATCTCAACAAAAACCTGGTGCCTTAACTAAGTTTCTTAAAAAAACAGACAAGGAATTTGAAAAAAGTGATGATATCAATAATTTATCAGAACAAAAAAGTAGTGATGATAATAATTTACCTGAATTAAAAGATAAAGACTGTCAAGATACATCTGTACATAACGAAACAAATGAAGTCTGTACGAATGAAAGCTCAGACACACAATGCATTCGATCTGAATTAGATACGTCTCAACTAAGTGAAATAGATGATAGTGTTAATAAGGATACAGATCTTTCTCTTCGAGAAACAGACTGTGATATTACTATTTTATCTTCGGATAACGAAGCTTTGAGCGAGTTAGATAAATCAATATCAAGTATAAATAAAGCAACTGACAAACCTACATCTCCTGTGACTCCTACAACTCCGAAAACTGACAAAGATAAAAATCAAATTAAAAAATTAACACCGAAACAATTACAAAGGAGACAGGAAATTGTCAAAAAAAAAGAAGAGAAGCAGAGATTAAAAATGGTATGTAAATATAAGATATAAATTTTATTTTCGTTTGTTTACAAAATAAGTTTATTAAATTGATTACGTTTACATATGTATATCAATTCATTTATATTTTATTTTTCATATGCTAGGAAAAGGAAAAAAAACGGGAGGAGGAAAAAGCAAATCGTCGAAGAGAGAGAAAAGAGAAGCAGAGGGAAAAAGAAGAAAAAGAAAGAATTGAAAAAGAACAAAAGAAAAAGGAAAAAGAACTAAAGGAACTTAAGAAACAAATAGAGATCGAGTAAGAACAATTGTATTTTACTGTGTATTTTATGTCGTACACTTTCAAACATTTGTTTCAAACTAAAATAATTATTTTTTTGTAGACAAAAACAAAAAGAAAAGGAAGCAAAAGAAGAAGAACGGAAAAAGCGAGAAGAAGCAAGGGAAGAAGAGAAAAGAAGGAAAGAAGAGGAACGACTGGAAGCCGAACGCAAGAAGCAGAAAGCTGCTTCGAATTTTGCGAGTTTTTTTGTTTCTAAAAAGCAGGAGGTTAAATCAGCGGAGGAAGAAAGTGTTGTTGGAGTAAAAAATTTTATGCCTTTTGAAATAAAGGCCGACATGAAAATCGCACCAATTTATCGAAGAAAGCTAACTGAATATGATAAATTATTGTTCGATGACAAATGCAACATAGATTTAGATAAATCCGAATTGTATCTCGAAGATATTAAAAAAAGAAGAATTGTGCCACGTACTTCCACCAAAACGTGGCCGTTGGAAGCAAAAGATGAAATTATCCTGCTAGGTAAAAATCACGTTTATAATATAAATTTATTGATATATTATAATTTGTTAAATCTTTTAATGAATTTAATTGTTCAGACGATGACAATGATGACAGTTCCAACATTATAACGAACACGCATAACTTGGAGAAGCACCGGCCGAAATTACTGCAATTCGACGAAAATCGTCGTCCTCCGTATTGGGGCACATGGCGAAAACGAAGTATCATCATAAATTCCCGGCGGCCGTTTGCAAAAGACAAGGTAAGAATAATATTGTATAATTCTTACAAATACTTTTTAATGATTTGCAATTATTTATTTTGAAACGTTAATTATTACGTAATGCTTATTAAAATTGCCACTATTCGTAATACAAAATCTGTATTGGATAATTACGACTGCATTAACAATTTTAATTGTTAATTTTTACAAAAAACAATTTTGTATGATATAAAACGTATGAAAAATAAGATATCAAATAATGCATTTTTCTGTAATTTCGTTTTATACAACGTTGATAGTATTTTTTATTGGAGTAACGTTAACTGCCATCAATAAAGACTAGTCGCACTAATACTAGGTTGAGTAAATCTCATTCATTTTACTTTAATATAATTTCGGTTTATCGCACTAATTTTTTTTGCTTTCTATTCGAAAAATTTTTCTGACATCTTTATATAATCTCTTGATTATCTTAATAATATTTACTATTTTATTAGAGTTAATACTAATGGTTCTGGAATAGAAACACAAATAAATGTATTACAATAAAACTTCAAGGAGGATTAGCCGCCAAAAATATTCAAAATCACTAATCTACATCAAGTTGGCAGAAATCATCATGTTACCATTATATAGAATCAGTTTAAGTACTTTATTTGCGTCAATTATGTAGGTTTCGTGATATCCTTAGTGATAAACTTTGGCTTGCTTTCTTAGTTAAGAGGAAATCTTTAAGAACAAGACAAATCTTAGATTTCTGACGGTAAAACATTTATCTTGCCGCTACGTAATCCTCTAGCTCCGTGAAACAATGGATAGGTATTTTTCCGGTGCACTTTACGATGCTTGGCCAGATGATCGCTACGTGCAAATTTTTTCGAGCATATTTCGCACGAATACGGTTTAATGCCTGAATGCGATCGTCGGTGCCTCGCCAGCTCATCCGATCGACTGAAACGCCATACGCAACCGGCCCAAGTGCATGCAAACGGTTTCTCGCCAGTATGTCGACGTAAATGAGCTTTCAAATGAGATGCTTTGGCATATACCTAAAACGAAAAGAAATAAATATTATATTTTAACCAGGAGTCAATTTTTAAGAGAGCTCTTCTTCTGAAGAAAGAGCCTCAATCTAAAATTCGTTATATTATATCGCTAATCTTTTATGAAAAACTGGATATAAAGATGATTTTAATATCAGATTGTAATTATTTTTATTTTTTTAAAAGTTTACTTACTATACGGAAAGTACAGCTTTGCTGAAAACAATTTTGTTGAGTCATTAAAATGTTCATGTAAAACGTTCAAGCGTTGACGTCAATGCTGCAAAAAATTGTAACATTCTAACAATTTGTTTGAACGTCTTACATAATTATTTTGACGGTCAAACATTATTTTTAGATATATAGTTAGCTAAATTTTTAAATACTTCAGCAAAACTTTTTTCCGTATATTAAACATGAAATAGTATAGCTGTTAAATAAATCTCGTAAAGTCTCAAGATTACTTTTAGGCATCCTTGGTAAGTACACGGGAAGCATCGATCTTCGGACGCATTTGCTAAACTACGATTGGTGTAATCGTGTGTTGCTAAAGCGGCAGTAGCTGCTGATGAGATTAGGAGACTGTCATTTAACTGGTTGTTGTTATAATCTGCAATTGAGAGGCATTTTAATTATCTTCATATATAATTATTTATAACAAGATTGTACTATTTAAAATAATAATTTTAAATAGTACAATCTTGTTATTTTAAACAATTTTAAATAAATCTTGTTATTCTCAAATAACACACGATCGAAGATAGAATAGATATCTTTTCATGTTATAATCGAAACATCTTCTTCATTTTAATGTTGACGTTATTTTCATCTTAAAATGTATATCCTGTACCTATCGTATTTGTTCCTAATGTGTCTTCCAACGCTCGTAAATCAATGCCGAGTACTAGCAACGGTTCTTCATACTGTGGCATCTGTTGCGGATTCGGTAAGGGCGGTAGATGCAAAAATCCTTCGCATCCTGCAGTGCACAATGGTGTTCTTTCCGGAAGACCGGAGTCCCAACTTTTCTCTAGACACCAATCTAACTCTAAATCCAATTCACCCAATTCGCTAAAATAACCTGTGGTTATTAAGCACACATTTTAAGAAAAGTTCTGTTTACGTTAGAATACGTGATTCTTGGAGTATAAAATCTAAAAATTTTTTTAATGAAAATCTAAGCAGATCTTCTTACGACAAATAACATTGAATAACATTGCATTATGTCGAACTTACACTCTCATTTTCAGTATTTATAAATTATTACCATATTTTTGTTTATAAAAAAAGGAATACCTGTAGGGGTATTGGTGGTCGACCAATCATTCCAAGATGATTGCGGAGAACAAGTTAAGTCAGTATAGTAATCTGTCGGATTTGTTATATTTAATTGACTGTCGAATATTCCGAAGTCGTCGCTAAGCGAACTCGAGATTTCGTAATCGCTAGGTAGATTCATCTTGGTCGGGGAAAATAGCTGTCTTTCGATGCTAGTGTCCATCGTCAGGCCAAGGGCGGAGAATAGTTGCTCGTCCGTTATCTGTAGATGAAGATAAATATATATATATATTTATTTATTTTATATATATATAAGTCTGAATTTATAAATTAACACGTGAATCCACCCTTAACTCTTGTTTTAACGACAATTTTGATATACATTTTGTCAGTATTCTGTTCTTGAATAAAAAAGTAGATACGCATAAAAAACGGTTCTGTAAAAATATTAAAAATTTTAGCTAGATATAAATTTGAAAAAAATTTTATTAGATTGTCAAAATGTAAAACTTTGCAGCAAACTTTATTTATTATGTCTCAATGCTCTATATCATTATTTTGATGATTCCAATAAAATTATTTTTAAATTTGTATCTAGCTAAATTTTTATAATGGATATTTTAACAAAATCGTTCTTTCCATATAGTCTATGCATTTCCATGTAGTCAAGCATAGTATTGTCAAACGCAAAGTATATGTTGCATAGATATGCAATTAAATACGACATTACATTGTGTTGTGTACTCACATCGAACGTCATAGCTTCCTCGATCATGATACCGAGAAATTGAATCGAAACTACGGCTGCAACCGATCTCTAAAATTGTGCCTTTTAATATGAATTGACGACTACACGCGACAAAGACTTTCAGAATAATTCCAGCTGACGTTTACATGATTGCTCTTAAGATTGACTCAATTGTCAGCCGTATTTCCCGATATCGATGTAGGATTTTATTTATCGATCACCGCATTATCATTCGCGTGAAGCTAACAAAGGCAGACTTCTATTTGCGGTATATTTAGCACGATAAATCAGGCTAAGAACCGCTTGTCATAATCGCAATCTTATGCGATTTGTCTGTTTATAATTTAGTAGTAATATCGAGCATTATATGAGCGTTTTAATAAAAGTACGATGCCACGTCTGCGATTCTTCTTTTCATGATTAAGAGATTTTAGGATCTTTAAAATATAGAACTATGACAAAAACTGGTAACAAAATGCCGAAGTGAGATACACTTTCAAAATTTCGCGCGCGTCCGAACGTTACGAAAGGGAAGAGACATGAAATTAAAAACGTCGATCCGCTCGTCACGACCGATCGGTAGTCATGTCAATACTGTAACTGGTGGTCAAATCTTCCAAACGAAAAGACGTCGGCGAAAGCGTATGACGAGAGACTATGTGGCGTATGGGTCCCCAGTTCGAGATAAGGATGCTGGCCTGTGCCACCCAGCGCCGTCACCATGTCGATCCCCAGGGACCTTGCGATCACGCACGTCGCCAGCTCGTCCCAGAACACCGAGAAAGAACCGGTACCACCATTCTCAACGTTATTTTATACCCTTTTCGTCCACGTTAGGGATGAGATTAAATATTCCATAATAATTGCGAATTAGAATTATTTGAAAATATTTAAAACGTAGGAGACGCATCAATCATGTTGAAAGGTTTCTGTCAAATCTGAGAAGATAAAATATCAAAACAGAAGATAAGAACACTAAAGTATTGTTTTAGAGGGGACACATTCTTATATAAGAACAAATTCTTCAGAAATTTCAGAATAGACCGTAACTAGAAATATTCGATCTATTTTAAAGTTTTTTGTGATAACTCTACATTATATTCAGTAATCAATAATGATGATGACTGATTTAAAAAAGCTAGTATTTTCCAGATTTTCAGATTTCGACTATTACTCGATTTTTCTCGTCGAAATAAACTTTCAAATCCTGTGATAGCTAATTGTAGCCAGAATGAAAAGGCAATTCTTTTTAAAATAAAGCGATCGTTTTTGCGTCATCACTTGAGTCTTATGAAATCCGACTGTCGAAGTTGGCTCGCGACTCGCAATCGATACACATCGAACTTGATTCCCTCCCTCCTGATCGGACAGTTAGTTCGCTTATTTACGGTCCCTCGAGATGCAAATTAATCGGGCAGCGCGCTGGATAATCACGATGCTCGGATGCTGGCTATCAGAGCTGATTTCAGCGAACGAATCGCGTCCACTGCCACACGGATTGGGGAAAGAGGGAAAGAGAGAAAGAAATCCCCTCCCTCACTCTCTTGTCTTCGGGGATGTCTCGAGGATGCCATCGTACACGTGGCTGCTATATATTGACAATTTCGATTCATGATATAATATTTGAGGAGAACAGACTGTTGAATCCGTTCCAATCGGTTGCATATGTATGGTATATACACAGAAATATCTCGAAATATTATGACGCTAAATGCATTAAAGAAATGTTCAATAATTGGGCGGTTTCGTTAGGTCATAAATTGTTGCTGTAAAAATTTACAAAGATTGATAACCTATTATATGTGCAGGATTTTGAAATGTATATTGGCTGTGCGCTTTGGAGAAAAAGTAGCTTTACAACTGTAATAAAATTTTTTAATATAATTGGTTTTGCTCTTAATCTCTCACTGGATCTAAATGTATAAGCGAATCATGTGTTAAAGAATTTTATGACAATTGTTAAGTTACTA